TGTGATTACTCTGCTTATTTTTTTTCTTAAACATTTAACATGTTTTATCCCAGATGTCTACTTTTAATTTTTGTTTTGGTTGACACTATTAAACTAAGGCTATTTTTAGCTTTTTTGTTAACTTATGGTGCTTACAGTCTCAGGAACAAGAGAACTCATAAAATAGGGTCTTCGACAATATAGTATCTTGCACTTAAAACTGTTATATGAAAAATGAATATATTTTAATTTTGCAGAACTATGGATTGAACCCAGGGCCTTTTCACCGACCTACGTCTCTAGTATTTTATTTTGAGACAGAGTGTTGGAAAGCTTCCTAGTGTGCCCATTAGTTGTAATATGTAGGCCTTGATGTAAGTAAGAACTGCTTAGCAGATTAGCAACACAGTCCTGGGTATGTCTGTGTATGGTTGACATTAGGCTAACAAACGGAGATGGGAAAACACACCCCATGTATGGGTGGCACCAAGCAAAAGGCTTGTAGCCTGGACAAAATAAAAAAGGAAAGAAGAAAGTGTTTCCTCATTTTGGAAGGGCACTCATTTTTGCCATTGCCTTTAGATAGTGGTTTCCAGTTTCTTCAGCCTTCCAAGGCAGAGTCACTGGATGCAACTTTACGATCAGCATTCAGGCCTTTGACCTTGAACTAGGATTGCATTTTTTTATCTCTCTTGTTCCAAAGCTATCTTCTTCTAGAGTTGGATCACTCAGTTTTCCAGTGCAGATGCTATTGTGGACTCTCCAGCCTCTGATCCTGTAACCCTATCTAATAAAACATCTTGCATAATTTTACATATATTTTCCATTGATTCTGTTCCTCTAAAGAACCTTGACATACACCTAGGCTGAGCTTGAACTTGGGATCCTTCTGCCCTAGTCTCCCAGATTGTGGGGATTACAGGTATGTGCTACTACATCCAGCTAGTAATACATTATTTCTAAGGTACTTTAGAGATAATTTAAAAAAAATTTTTATAGATTTTAATTCTTTGTGGAAAATGTCTCTCATCTATTTTGCCCATTTTTTAATTTAAAATTAATCATATCACTTAAAATAAAACCCTTGTCTTTTAACTCCAGTAGCAGAATCATCTATGGGTCTTCCATACCACTACATATTTCTGCTCCTTCATGTTTTCAATAATCTGTCATTACTTATGAAACTTTGACTCTAGAGGCTCCAGGTAATATTTACCACCAGGGATAGCTCTTTCTTCCTTTTTCCAGAAAGAACAAGAGGCTAGTCAATCCCAGTCAAGCCTTGTGCTAGGTTGGGCTGTACTGGAAGTCTAGTAAGATTCAATCCACCTCTGACTCATCCTTACTGCTCACAATTGGACTTCTGATTGACATCCTGGATATTCTCTTTATTCTCAGCCTTGAATATTCTAATTTTTCATGTTTTAAACATTTTTCCTACCATTTGTAGGTTCAAAATCTGGCAAATGTCTTGAAGAGGAGAACTGTTGTATTTGTTGTAGGTCCCTGATTCTAGTGGGACTCTGTCCCCAAAGTTCTGCAAGTCTATTAAAGGTTTCACTCTGCCTTTCCTGCTCAGACCCTCTAATTTCTAGTACCATCCCAGAACTCAGTACATTTCCTATGGGGAAATCTAACCAACATGTGTTTTATATTTATAATATTTTTTTGGCTAGTATTGCAATACTACAAAAAGCTTTGAGTTCTCTTTTCCCCAGTAGTATCTCTGGGTGTGAAAGTTAATCCTGATATATGAATTTCAATTGGATTAAGAAACACCTAGCATATTAGTAAAGCATGCTCCTGGGTGTGTCTGCTTGAATCATGAAGACATGACGTTGGGTAGTATATATGCCCCTTTACCCACTTCTCCCTGGTGCTGTTTCCCTCCTCTGCTCCTCAGCCTCTAAGTAGCTTTGCTCCACCACAACCTTCTGTTATGATGTTCCTGCCCTGGAGACAACTAACTACGGATTGGATTCCACCCAAACCATGAGCTAAGCTAAACTTTTCTTCCACTAAGTTGTGAGTGTCTGGTAGTGTGTCCAGCAACAGGATAGCTGACAAATACAATGAGTTCCAATATGCCCGTCTATATATGTATCAGTCAATCACCTACTACATGTACGGTTATAGACATTTTAAACTTTTATCTTGTCCTTTATCCTTTTCTTAATATTTTCTATTTGACTGTCAGTCTTAAATTGCACCTTTTGACTTCTATCTATTACTTATACAGTCCTGGCCTCATTTTACTTTTCTCTTTTTCTTTCCCTCTTCCTCTCAATTCTTTATTTGCATTTTTTAACTTGGTAAAGCTTGTGCTGTTTTCTTTTCCTTTCTTTCTTTATTTCTTTCTCCCCCCCTTTTTTTTGAGATTCCATCTCACTGTATCACCCAGACTGGTCTTAAACTTTTGAGCTCTAGTGATCCTCCTGTCTCAGCCTCCCAAGTAGCTAGGATTACGGGTGCATGCCACTGCAAACATCTTTACACTCTTTGACCCATGTCCTTATCCTTAGTCTTAGCTCTACCATTAAATACTCATCATTAGTTACACTGTAAATTTCCACAGTCATGTATTGTCTAGACGAAATTCATCTTCTATTTGGTTTTCCACTAAGAAAATGTAAATACAGTATTTTCTTGGTTATAGAATGTTCAAAACTATGTTTCAATAGCCCTGCCACTTGAAGTATGGCTTGGCTGCATATAGAACTAATAATTTAGTAAGTTTTTAAAAATGATGCTCCATGGTTGCCTTGATTTTTGTATTGTGCTTATGAAGTGTAAGGTCATCCAAACCAAACAACTTTATCTTCATAAGTAAACTGATTATTTTGCCTGGTGCCCTTAGTGATATTTTTCTTTTTCCTTAATATCCCATCATTTTACTAGGGTAAGTCTCAGAGTTGATTATTGTTGGTTAACTTTTCAAATTTTCGGTAGGTTTCTTAGATTTTATTTTCATACACTAATACTGTTCTGTTGCTTTTCCCACCACCCTTCTCCTCTCCCTCCCTCTCCCTCCCCCTCCCTCCTCTTTCCCTCTTCTTCTGACATGTACATTGGACCTTCCTTGCCTATGATCAATTTCTAGCACTTTTTTCCTGACCTGATTTTTTATATTTTCAGATCATTTTAATTTACTTTATTGATTGCTTCTTTTCTTCACTGACCTTCATTAAATTTCAATTTATATTTCTGGCTTAGACGGTGATAGTTTATTCATTTTTCAGATTTTTTTCTTCAAGTTTTTTCTTGATTTGGTTAGAGTTCCTTCCTGGGTTTTGTCCATTTATATTTTCAGGTTTTGAATTTCTGATTCTAAAGTTCATGCACACACACACACACACACGTCTATGTTGTTTGAGGATAATTTTAGTTTGGATGTTGGTATTAGGGATTTGTGTGTGTGTGCTCGCGCGTGTGTATGCAAGACATTTTGTTATGTAAAATGTTAACATTCACCTTTTCTTTTTCCTCTAAAAATAGTTTTCCATTGTGTTGGGTTTTTAAAAGGCATATTTTATTTTTAGAGTTCCTAAGTGAACAATATTTTCTTTGATCAATGTAATCAAGCACAATTCCTTTAGTGGATTATATTTTTGGTGTTGGTACTAGTTTCATATGAGGGTGAGGTAGGGTGGCTAGCATGAATTTATTCTCTTGTTTCTTTAGGATCTTTAATTTCTCCCCTTTCTTCTTTGCTTTCATTGCCGTATTGTTTTGGGGACACACACACTTTTACCAATGTAGCTGAATACCCTCAGAAGCAATTCTTATCTGAAGCTTTCACTTCTGGTCTAATTTTGAAGTCATTTCTCTATAACCAATGTTGTAACCTATTAGCACTCATGCTTGCTCATTGTTCTGGCACTTATTATTTGACATAGTCTTTTGGGGCTGAATTTTGCCTCTGCTTTGTCTATATCATCCAATCCCCCCCCCCTTTTCTTTTGTTTTTCAAAGCTTCTCTGAAGCCTTGCATCCCATACTCACCACACACCATACTGCAGCAGTGGACTTTTTTTTTTTAATTTGGCACTTATCAATTTTCTGGTCATTTGATGTTTGTGGTATGCTATGTCTTCTAGTATTACTGAAAGCATGGATCCTTTGTAGTTTTACCTGCACTCTTCCTATATCTTATACTTTTCTGGAGAAGACATGTGGAAACATTCTGATTCAGTTGAAATTATCCTCTAGACCCGGGTATAATTTATCTCTTACCTCTTCTTAATAGAGATTTATCTGTTAATAAGCATCTCCAATGAATTCATTTCCATGCTCCTTGATAGTCTATTAATTATATAATTATTTTATCATTGATAGTTATTTAGGTTGCATTTAACATTTCACTACTATAAAAATGCTACAAATATTCTTGTTTATACATGCATGTGTAAAACATGTTCTTCATTTACACATGCATGTGTTTCTGCAAAGTATTGCCAGTCTGTTTTATGTTGCTATAATAAAATACCTGAGGTTAGGCAATTTGTATTAAAAATAGTTTATTTGGTGTGCAGTTCTGGAGATTCAAGAATATGGTGTGGGCATCTACTCAGTTCTGGTGAGGGACTCATGGTAGGTCATTAAAATGGTGAGAGTGTGTGCTAGAGGAGGAGAGAGGTCATTTGGAATTTAATTTTGTGTGTAACATTAGGTAATAATTTACTTTTTTCCTTTGTGGCTAGTCAATTGCTTCCTTATCACATCGTATTATAAAGGTTCTTTGTTTATTCAATTATGCTCAAAACCAGGTTGGCATTTTCACAATATTTTTCACAAGTTTGGAGGGCTTAGCATATCCTGCTATAGTATTATTTTCTTGTGAAATGAGGCTACTTATTGCATTTACTTTTCTTGAAATACGATAAAAATTTGCTCTTGTTCTTGCCTATCTTTCCATAGTAAATTCTAAACCTCTTGTGAAAAAAAGCTGTTGTCCAACTCATTGTTTTATCCTCAATAGTTAGCACTGATAGAATAGGGTTTCAAATACTATTCAATTTTAACCTGAATTTTGATGTTAATAAGAGGGAAGTTCCACCTAGTACAAACTTCACATTCATTTAGATCTTCAAAATACTTTCAATGAATAGGAACCAAAGTCATCATTTCTGTCCCTGTTTATAGGACAATCCCTAGCTGTCTGAGGTTGGCGTTACTAGTGAAGTTTATCAGGACCAGGCATCATTTGTGGACCTAGCCTGGACTTGCTCTTTGCAATAGATGTCAGGAGTCTGCCCCTCTCGGACCCAGTTCTGAGGTGAGGCGATGCATCTGCGAATGTGTTCAAATCCATGGTGCTCCCCTCTTCCTTACATTCTCCAGATACCTGAATAAACAGCAAGATGTGGGAACTGCCTGCGAGTTCACACGCTGTCCTTACACGGAATGATGGCGTGTAGAACTCGGCAGTCACCTTCCCCGGAGACAGGGACCTAACCTTTTCCTCAGCCAAGTTCTCAGGTGACTCTAGAATCTCTCCAGGCTCCCCGTGGCTTGGTTACCACAGTCGGCGGCGGGGACCCAGGGCTCGCTTCTCCGGGACCTGGCCTGGCTGCCCCAGCTTTGTACCGGTGACTTAAGGCCACTGCGACATGATCGTCGAAAGGGAAGATTCTGCGGTCTGGGCGACCCTCATCGCCCGCCTCAGGTGCCAGCCGAGTCGCCTCCCAAGCCGCCTGGGTGAGGGTGGGGGTGGGGGGGGCGGGGCGATGAGGCCACCGCGCAGGCGTGCTCCCCTGGCCACCTCGCCCCGCCCCTGAACCGGGACCGCGTTTCCCATAGGCCCGCGCGACGTAGCGCTACCCCAGCCCCGCCCCCGAGACTCAGGGTTCTGGAGGTCGCCTGGACCTCCCTGGCCCCCTGTCGGCCGCAGTTCCTTTGAATCACGGCGGGAGAAGGCCGGGAGATGGCGAGTCTGGGCTGCCTGCTGTGCGTGGTGAGCCTGCTGCTCTGTGGGGCGACGAGCCTCGGGCTGCGCGGACCCCGCAGACCCACCACCGAGAAACCCATCATTGGTAAGAAGGCCGCGAGGGACCACAGCCGAGTGGACAGCGGGGAGTCGTCGCTGGACGCCGCTTGGCCCCATAAGCAGTTATGGGCCTCCGCTTCCAGGACAGATAAGAGCTCTGATAGACACTATTTGGATCACACAGAAATGTAGTTGACGTCTAGGTGGTTTTCTTGAACTCTTACGTTCTGGCTCTTAAAGTTGGGAGGGAGGAGGGTGCTCTGTGAAGACTTACGCTGATCTTTTATGTACAAAGCTAGGCATTTCCACTAAAAGAAAAAATATTTTTTTTACGTAGCTAGGAATTTACTAGTTTACCTAGAGAGAGCCCATACATGTACTGTATTTATTAACATTCCTTGATTGAGAGTGTTTTGAGATACAATGCATTATACATAACAGTGGAATACATTAGATAATCAAGAAATTAAAGTGTACTGTATCTTGGACTTTGTCATCTTCATCACCAGCAGTGTCCAATATGATCAATAATATCAATTCTGTTTAATGTTAGAGTGAACCATGATTTTTTGTTTTTATTACAATTATGTTTTGAAAAGAATATAAAATCAGTTTGCATTAACAGAATAGACATTTGAGACAGGGTTGGAAATGCTTTCTAGGAAAAATTAGCCTGGGATTGAAACTTGCCAAAATAAATACCTATGTGGATAGTTCATTTTGGTTTTATCCCACCCTGTGTAGGATTTTTGCATTGATATTATTTTTTCCTTTCATGAAGCTGAACAGTGTATTCTGTAACCAAACAAACTAGATAACCATTTTTTCATATGCATGGGTTGCACTATTTTCAAATGTGTTGCATACTAATATTTGGAACCTGGAATGGCTTATTCCATAAGTATTAATAAGTATGATGGTTAGATTCTTCAAGGAGAACCATATAATTATATGTACTGAATTCCAATTTATGTGTGTTCCAAGGAGGAGAAAAAAGGAAAGAAAACATATTTATTTTCCTTTGGTGGAATTGGGGTAGCCCTAGGTGAAATATAGAGAACAAAACTCTGGTTTTGATCACTATGATAAATTGAGGTAAAGTAGTTGACCAAGCACCAAAATATGAAAGCATTTCTGTAGGAAGTGTATAGGAATCGAAGGCAAGGAAACTGTAAAAGTGGAAGTATACGAGATTTTGGCCAGATATTAATGAATAAGAAATATAGCCTGAGCTTTTTACAGAGGATAGGAAAAGTAATTATGGGAGTGGTGGAGTAGGGGTGGGGTGGGGTGGGGTGGGGTGTTGGTGCGCAATATAATGTACTTTCTTTCCTGTTTCCTGCGCCTTGTGATCCTGTGATGGCCCGTGCACTCCTTTGTGGCACTCCTCTGCCTGCCCTGTACTCCTGCATTTCTTGCAGCATTTTTCTCCAATTCTTTTTTCCCTAGGTAAATTTCGTCTTCCTTAGTGAAGATGATCTTACCTACTAGCAAAGAGAAAAACAGCTTTCCGAACATATTTTGACATTTGACATATGTTAACTGAGTGTCTAGTACATAGGCTTTTCCTTTCAGGTGGCCTATGGAAATACTAAAAGTACACCAAATGAAATAATGATATAGGTACAGGTGCTCACTGGGCAGACTTTTTGTTGTTGTTCTGGTGATTGAACCCAGAACTTCACATGTTTTTATATATACTGGATGCCAGCCCTATGCTGGGCCTGCCTCAGATTTCTTTGGTAAGAGGAAGCTAGAGAGATGGGTGGGTACAAAGAGGAGGGTCTTACAAAGTGCTTTAAAGTTCAGGAAACCACTGAGGTGCTTAAGCAAAGTGGTAATCTGCTGATCTGAATCTTTTCCCATTGCTTTCTCCCTTTCCTTACATGCATGGATCTGAGAGTCAAGTGGATTCCTTACAGTATGACAGGCTGACTCATGAATTTTGCATTTGTATTTCCTTCATTCTGGATTGCTGACTTCTTAGAAATCTGCCTGCGATTTACTCCCTCGCCTAGCTGAAGTTCTAGCTCAAATGCCATCTTATACCTTTTCAGAGAGGACTTGTCTAGTGTTGCATGAATTTCCTGGAGAGATGTAAAATAAACATCTGCCTCTGAATCGAGAGGGACTGACAGACCAAAGAACTACTTGGACAAGTCCAGCTTGGCAAGTAACTGAGTTTATTAGGGGTTACTTACAGAGCAGTGGATGACTTGTAGGCTACAGCTCTACGGAATTTGCCTTGCCCACCTTGCTGTGCTTGGCTGTTGGTTTTATAGGGCACTGATTAAGACAGCAAAAGCAGGATCAAGAGCAAGAAGGGTTCTTGGGAAAAGTTGTGTGTGCTCCACCCTCATTAGATCCTTATCAGGAAACTCTGCCAATCTCAGTAAGAGTCTCCCAACAGTGATGGATGACCTTTTGCTGCAATCTGGCAGTCTGGCATGTAGACTTAGCACCTGGTGTTGTGAGGGGTGTAGCTGGGGCCCCACTGAACAGCTAGACCAGGAGAGGTGTACCACAAGACAGAGTTACTTTGGCTAGGATGGTGGGGGGGGGTGGGGGTTTGTACAATTCTCCCTCCATCCCACCCTTCCCCCAACTCTTAAAATACCACTCCTCTCCACCCCCCACCCCCCACAGTGTTTCATTAGCCTTGGAAGAGATGTTATCTCTTTTGTCTGTGAGCTGAGCACTAGGCTGTTATGTCCCAGGAACAATACAGAATGCAGCAAAAGGTCCTAGAATGACACAATTGAGAGTATATGTCTCCAATAAAGTGTATAAAGCTCCACCTTGGTTCTAGGGTCCCCATGAAGTTACTCCCAATCATGGGCAGACAAGAGTAGCACATTTCAGGGCATGCCTGATTGATTGGAGAAAAGTTCACCATATACCCAGTGGGTGGGCTTACTGTGGGTTTTCACCTGAGGTCACTGCTCACTGCAAGGCGAAATTCTATGGCTGAGAGTGGCAACAGCAGTAATCTGTGGGCGTAGACAAAAATGTTTAGACAACAGTTTTGGACACATCATATGTATTTAACTGAACAATAGCAGTGGCTTTCCCTCCGGGGCCTGACTTCCGCAACTACAGGTCTTTATCCTAGCTTGTATTACCAAATGCAGGTCTCCTTCTTTGGAGCAGACATAAGCAGTAAGTGGTTGGTTGCACCTAGACCAGTCATACCACTACGGCACTGGTAAGCACGTCCTGCCTGGAGGTAGTGTAACGTGACAGTGGTGGCAAACCTATGGCATGCGTGCCACTGAGGGCACACAGAGCCTTTTCTGTCAGCGCATGAGCCAAGTCACCCCAGCAGCCAAGCATTGGATATATAGCTCTGATTGCATAGTTGGCAATAAATAGGTAGGTTTGGGTTGCAGTTTAGGTACTTGATCTCTAAAAGGCTCGTCAATGTGAGAACCATACCTGAGCAGGACTTTTGGTGACGATTCTCAGGCATCCTGCACATAGCACCCTTTGGCACTAGGAGTGTTAGCTAGTGGGGAGGATCATCCCAGCTTAGTCTCAGTTTATGGCTTCTGAAAGTACCTCTTTTTCTACCCATGTAGAGGACCTTCATTTAATGCTTTAAATATTACATTAATAACCCATTTTGTTTTTCAAATCAAGCCAGCTCTTGTGGGATTGTAAGGCAGGTGAAAGTAGTATTGTACTTGATTGCCCTCAACTCAGTTTTGCACATCAGTGTTTGTGAAATGGATTTCCCTGTCATCATCAATCTTCCATGGGCGCTTGAACATAACACTGAGCTGAGTAAGGCTTCTAATTTGTTGCCTCCAGTGGACCATTTACAGGTGAATGCTTGCAAAAGGACTATGGCAGTATCCACAGAGGTGAGTGCATATTTACAGCTTTCACTCACAGGCCTGGGCCCATTGTAATCCACCTGCCAACTACATATTAGACATGTTGACTTGTGCATGTGAGTTAGTGACTTATCCTGTGACTTGTGCATGTCAACTGATTAACTTGTGTACCTATTCAGCTAGTGCACTTATCCTTCGAGGCTGTAGCCAAGAGCAGACCTCACATGCCTATACAGCATATCAAAGGTCAGAGTAGTTTATAGGAATGCCTTCGGCCTTTGCTATCCTGCAGCCCATTTTGGCCCTTCTGTGTGCAGACTTCACAAGCAACCAGTGGGTGGCTTCTGTAGGTGTCTGGTGACAAGTACTGTAGCTTGAACCTTTGTGAGGGTCCTTGTCTTAGTTTTCTCTCATTGCCGAGATAAAATACCCAACACCCAAAGTTAAAGGGGGTTTATTTAGCTCACAGTTTGTAGAGGTTTCAGTCCATAATCGGCTGCCTCCAAGGCAGGGTAGCATGGCAGACAGGCATTGCAGAGAAGAAACAGTTCATGGTGAGCAGTAGGTAGCAAAGCAAGCAAGAGGGATAACCACAGCTCTTTCTGTCCCTTGCATCTTATCCAGGCTGGTTAGGACAGGTAGCATTCACACTCTTAATCCTAGTGTCCTTGATCCTAGCACTGCAGCATGAATCAATCCCAGTGTCACACACTCTAAATCAAGCCACCTCTGAAAAAGACCCACCTATGACTGCATGAGGCATGAGGGGGCATCTGAACACAAGCCATAACAGTACTATCCTGCTGATTTCCCAGGGTACTTAGTAGGCTGTGGGCAGCTACATGAAAGACTGAAAGTTGGTTCGTGGTTCTAACGCAGTTTGTATTCTTTCGTACATCTCCTTCCATATCTTTTATCACTATAGTAGCCTACCAAGCACTTGCTTATCCTAGAGTCAGTCCTCTAAGGACTGCCCAACTATCTGTACACATAGTGGCCATTTCTCACTATCCATACAGCTCTTAGCTCAGCCTGTTTTTTCTTTCTCCACTCTCTAGCCAGGTGATATCTATATTTATCTGCATTGCTACTGCCATCCATTCCTGCGTTGTTCCCAACTAGTGCCATTGGTGTACCAAGCATCTTTAGGAATGGGCCGTGTTCCTCTGTTATTGGGTTTTGGGGTGCTAAAGTCTCCTTCTAGACATGGTTTCTAGGTTCTTTCTGTCCTCGGAAAAGAATTGGTCAAGACACACACAAAAGGTAGTGTAGTTTTACGTTTACTAAAGGTAGGAAAAGAAATGTGCTCTGCAGAGCAAGTTTGGGCCAACTAAAAGTAGGAGAATAAGTACACTCTAGAGAGGAAGAGTGGACCACTATGCAAGAGAGAACACATTGGTCCAAAGCTCAGTGCTGACTTTTGTACCTCCCACTCCTGCCATCTAGGTTGTCCTATTACAAACCTGCTCCAGTTCTTGTGAGAAGAATTGAAGACAGCACTCTGCAGGGTTTTGGGAACTTTCTTCACATGTGTCCTGGGACTTTGCAATTAATTGGTCATGCCAACCTCCCCAGTTTGCCACTCCCTAATCTCCTGTCTCACCATCCAACACCTTATCTGACTCAGCTGTTGGTTCAATCACAGGAGGCGGTTCAGTAGTGTGGAAGGCCTCTATCCCCAGTATGACCTACATGATATTTGTCACAGGGCTAGCAAATAGAACTCCACACTGCTGCAACTATGCATGCCACTTTTTCAAAGTCTGATTTTGTAGCACCCCAGAAAGAGGCTTGGCTACAAGTCCTAAAGTCCAACCCTTTATTGAATATTCTCTTTTTACTGTCACTGAAGTAGATCCAGTGATGGATTCTACTTGATGCAGGGTTTTAGAAACAGACAGCATCTTTGTTGAGGTACTGTATTTGGGCTTTTACCCTTTTCCATGATTGGTACTGGAACTGTTTAGATTGTTTCTGTCTACCTGACAATGGTAGCCCTGAGGGTTCCTGGTAACCTCTAGAACAAATGGGCCTTGGGGTTCTGGGACACACAACTGCTTTCCCTGCTCCACAAATAGCTTGCTCAAAAGTCTCTTGAACCCTTTCATCCCAATCTTATGCGGTCCTTTTTATTAAGTTATGAAGAAGGCAGGCAATTTGAGTAAGGTGGGGTATGAAAATAAGCCAATGCCCCAGGAGTTCTAAGCACACTTTAATTGCTTTGTAATTGCTTTGCATTTATTGATACAGACTGCTGCAGAATTTTCTCAGTGACCTTTTCAGGTTCATACATGTCTTACCCAAGCATAAAACTCTCCAAACCTTTATGGTGTTGCCAGGCCCTTACACCTTGTGGAGATTACCCTCCCATTTCCCACTCCTTCAGGTATACTTGTATGTCCTCCAGATTTTTTCTAAGTCTATAAGACATGGAGAGATTAGCATGATGTAATCTTATGTAATGAAACATTTTAATGGTGAGTAGGTAAAATAACAAGTCAAGGTCATGGACTGCTATCCCATGATAAGTGGTGGGCTGTTCAAGTAGCCATGAAGGATCATTCAAAAGGTTCATTGCAGTCCATTCCAGGTGAATGTAAACTGGACCTTGGACTCACCAGCTAAAGGGATACTAAAGAAAGCATTAGCTAGATCAAAACAGCGTGATCCAAGCCTTAGCAAGATCCAAGATACAGCACAGCAGCATGGATGAGGGTACTATATTGTCTTATCTAAAATCCACAGTCATTCTCCATGAGCCATCTGGCTTTATTTTTTTAAACCAGCCATACTGAACTACTCTAAGTACTGTGGGCTGGACAAGACAATTTCTTTATCCCCTTTGGTTAGTCTGTACTGTTTGCTATTAACTACTCTGGGTGAGGCAGACAGTTTTATTGGCTTCCATTTTGCCCAGCCCTGTATCAATACCTTTACAGTCTGTAACCTCAGGCAGAGATTTTCCACTGTGTTCTGTAGGTATGCCCCAGCACCTTGTCTACCTCTACTATATTCTCTTGAAAGTGGTAGATTTAAACAATCTATTTCCAGGATAATTGCCCACCCCTAGTGTAAGTGTAGTGTTCTTCACCTCTACTGTTATAGCTCTGTACTCATTACTTTTTTTTTTTAATTAGCATGTCTTCTTCTGCAGTACTTACTGGTTCCCTTTTGTAAAAACCCTGTGACCACTGGGATTTCAAAGTGCTCCTGATACTTTTTTTTTATTTCTTCACTTCTTTGGTCTAAGAGTTGACTCACAGATGTTTATATTACAGTTAGGGTTTCAAGCCTTTATATAAACTTGGATGAAAGAATTACCTTAAGCATAAAGCAAAAGAAGAGAAAGTTACCCTGTAATTGCAATTTAAGAACTATCCAAAGCTATTCAAAAGAAATGTTTTAGGCATGCCAGTTAGACAAAAATATCAACTAAAATTGTAATCCAAAACTGAATTAACTAATTAGCCAAGATGTGCCTCAGTGGACTCTTGTTAACTCTTCATAAGATTCCAGGAAGCCTTGGTCCCCCTCTCTTGACATCCTGAGACTAGACTCAGGTTTAGACCCGGTGCAGATTGAAGGTGGCTAAAGAGCCACTTCTTCTACCTGACATCCAGGTTTGCAGCCTGATCCGTACCCCATACCAGCTTGGATTTGAAGTCCAGGTTGAGCTTAGTCCAGTGGCCCAGGTCCTTCACCACCTCCACTTTCCCAGTTGTGTTTACTGGCATGTTAACAGGTTTGTGCCCATTCTCTTTCTCCTGTAGTTGAGTGGCACAGGCTTGACTTGGAGCTCAACCTCTGCTGCTGCCGCCGCTGTGAAGAGGAACCACCTCATTCACGGCTCGTTTTTCCCCATAAATAATATCACTCATTAGCAAATGACAATTATTTTCCTCCATCTATGTTGCCCTCAATAGTCACCACTTCTCCTCACATGGAGGTAAATGGCTGTCCCAGGATCTCTCTCTAGACAAATATGTCAGCTTCAGTAGCATATCTTATTGCGCACAAGGGTGGCCATGCCACAGTGGCTACAGCTGTCCTGTAATTCTCTCCCATATGGACTGCAGAATATTCTCTAGTCCATTAGGCTTTTTCAGTCACATGCAGTGGGCCATACTTGTCTGGGAGGTATGTCACTCCATACTACATGGAGGAGGACAGCCACCCTAGGATCTTCCCCAGGGCAGGCAACTCAGTCTGGGGGGGGGTGCACCAGCAGCTACAGCTCTCTTACAATCCCATTCCCCATGGACTCCCTTTAAGGGTTACAGTATATATCTCTAGTCCATTTTGAGGGCATCGCCATACTCATACAGCGGACGGACCATATTCATCTAGTCGGCATATCACCTCTTACCACATGGAAGAGGATGGCCACCCTGGGAAGTTTCCCATGGATGTTCTTTCCTGACTCATCTTTGTATCTGTCTGGTTCCCTTTTGGGAGCTACATGTTTCACAAACTGAGAAGGGTCGATAAACCAAAGAACTACTAAAACAAGTCCAGCTTGGCAAGTTTATTGGGGATTACTTATAGACCAGTTGATGACTTTTGGCTACAGCACTACCAAATTTGCCCCTCCTCCCCTGGTGTTAGGCTCTTAGCTTTAAAGGGCACTGATTAAGACAGCAAAAGCAGGATCAAGAGCAAGAAGGGTCCTCGGGAAAAGTTGTGTGTGCTGCACCTTATTTCATCCTTATCAGGAAATTCCACCAGTCTCAGTACTGTCTAGCCACAGCAATGATAAACTTTATTATGATTCAATCTGCAATAATTTAGCACCTGGTGTTGTGGGCGGTGTGACTTGGGGGCCACTGAGCTGCTAGACCAGGAGGGGTGTACCACAAGATGGAGTTACTCTGAGTAGGGTTCAGAGGACAATTTCCACTACAGTTAGCCGCCGTGTTGAAGAGATTATAAATGGAACACCCCTTCTTTGCTTTACTTACTCTCTTTAGCCGTTACTGTCAGTCATCCCTCTATATATTGTACCTTTTTATGTGTGTTTTCTGACCTCTCTCTTCTCTCTGTCCCACATGCTACAATTAAAGCCTACAGGGCAGGGCTTTTTGTTTTCCTCATTCATGTGTCCCCAACACTTAGTTCAGTGCTTAGCATGGAGTACGATTCAACAATATTGAATGAATGAAAGAGTACCAATATGATGAGCTTTACTTAAACCATGTGGAAAACAGACTGGAGTTGAAGGATTCCTCAAGAAAGGATAGAGATCTTTTCATGATCTGCGATGAGATCGACAAGATATTGATTCCTCCGCTTAAGGTGGTGGTGGAGAGATGTTGACAGAAAATATTACTACTGTTTTGTTTTGCTTACAAGGAAACAGTTGTATCTCTGAGTTGTGTGGGAAGAGAGTGGCAGTGTTTTTGATTTAGGGGTCTGTGCTCTGAAATGGACTCTAGGTCTAAGGTTGAAAAATGCTGGTGCTGTTACAAATCTACTTCGAGAGCTTATTTGGCTTCCCTGATTTGATGGGAGACAGGAGGTTACCTGAAACTCCAATCAGCCTTTACTACTCCTTTCCCAAAATCTATAGATGGACTTGAGGAAACACTTCCTGTTTAATACTGTGAATTGAAAGAATGAAGTTTTTACTGTGATATGTTTAGTGTCTGAGCAATAAATAAAGGAATTTTCTTGAAACTAAAACTTTTTTCTAAATTTAGGAGTATTAATGCAAAAAACCACAAACATGAAAATAAAACATCTTGGGAAATATTATATTGCTGCATCATATGTGAAGTATCTAGAGTCTGCAGGTGCGAGAGTTGTACCAGTAAGGTATGGTTCAGTGTTTTGGGCACTGTATATAAGAATTGTTATGTTTTCTCTCTAAAATGAATATTTTCTCTCCTATATCATTTAAATGTATTAATATTCTGTATCATTTTTGCCATGTAAACTTAGTATCTGTAATTTCTCATTGAATTGTTTAATGTATGAAGCTGCATATACCTATAATAGAGGTATGTTACATATATTAGCGCACAGAATGAAATGATAGTTTCTCTTATAACAGAAATGATAGTCCTCATGGAGAGCATGAGAATAATGAAGTAACAGGATCTACAACCTAACTAGCTGTATTTCATTTTAGAATAAGGGAACACTTAAGGAATGAGAATTTTTTGGAGATGACTATTAAAAATATCTTCATACTTTTTAAAAAAAGTTTGTAGATGACTAATATAGTAGTGTGGCTTCAGCATAAATTTTAGGTATTTTAGGTTCAAAAAAGTGACATTATTTTTGTGATAAAATGGCCCAATAGGAATACAAATGATTTGGGCCGGGGATTTAGCTCAGTGGTTCTGCCGCCTGCCTTGCAAGCATAAGGTCCCAAGTTCGATCTCTGGTACCAAAAACAACAGCAGCAACAACAACAACAACAAAAACAAGAATACAAGTGATTCATGTGTGTGTAGCTCAGTGGTAGAGTGCTTGCCTAGTACTTGAAAAGCCCTGGGTTCAATCTCTAGCGCTGGAAATAAAAGAGATTATGTCTAATATGATTAGGTCTGGTTCCTTGGCCTGTGCCCAAACTCCTGCTGACCTAGCCACAGACTTCTGATGTCCTAGTCAAGATAGGAGACTTTATTGCTTCTGTTTTTCAATTTCTATCTCCCGTGGAAAATTCTACCCCCCTCTCTGTGGAACCCAGGGACTTTGCACCAAAGTCTTTTTTTTGAGGCAGAGAGTTTAACTAAGTTCCCTAGACTTGGCTTGAACTTGTGATTGAACTGGTGATCTCCCCACCTTGGCTTCCCAGAGTGCTGGGATTACAGGAATACCCTACCAAGCCCTACTCACTGTTCTTTTTTTTTTTTTCCTTAAATTCTTTTATTGGTACATTGTAGGTATAAAACACAATTACATTTCTCATTGGGAATTGTACCTTTACATGATGCATCTTGGTTCTTATTTTTTCCCCATTCCTAGCCCACTCTTCCCTATTTACAAAGACTTTGTTTCCATTTTTTCCACTTCTCATAATTTTTCCTTTCCCTTCTTTCCTTTCCCCTGTCCCTCCCACTACCCCTACCCCTTTGGACATTTTCTTCCTGTTTCGCATTATCAATTATTCATTCTAATGATTGGTACATTTTAGGTATACAATATAATGACATTCATCATTGGAAATTTGCACCTTTACATAATCTCTCTTGGTTATTTTTCACCCTTGCCCAGCCCTCCCTTCAACCCCTCCAGTCCTCCCTATTTACAAAGATTTTGTTTCCATTTTTCCATTTTCTCATATTAATTCCATTCCCTTTTTATTTTTTAAAAGAAACTGTTAGAACTAATTGAGTTTGAAGACTTTTTGTTTTTTTAATTTTTTTGTTTTTTCCCAACTCTTTTGAAATCCTTAGCCTGCCCTTAGAGTGTGTAAAGCCAGACCTGGCAAAGATTAGGTCCTGGCCCAGGGATTTAGCTCAGTGGTGCGTGCTCACATGATGGGTTCGCAGGCCCCTCGCTCAGTCATCCTGGCGAGTGAAGATGTCAGCCGAGAGGGAACTTCCTCTGCTAGGAAGCCCACTGACTTTGAGGAGCTGGAGGACGGGGAGGACCTGTTCACCAGCACTGTTTTCACGTTGGAATCAAGTCCACCATCTCCAGAACCAGCTAGTCTTCCTACAGAGGATATTAGTGCAGGCTACAGTGGCTCAAAACCGTCAGAAGTTGTACTGGATGATGACAGAGAAGATCTTTTTGCAGGAGCCACAGAAGTTTCTTTGGACAGCCCAGAAAGAGACGCTATCCTGTCCTCGGAGCCTTCTCCTGCAGTCACACTAGTCACCCCTACTATACTCATTGCTCCTAGAATTGAGTTAAAGAGTATGTCAGCTCCTGTAATCTTTGACAGATCCAGGGAAGAGATTGAATGTTAGATCCAGAGAAAGTTGGTGATGGCATGAATGCTTTCATGGCATACAGAGTAACAATGAAGACTTCTCTTTCCATGTTCAGTAAGAGTGAATTTTCAGCTAAAAGACGATTCAGTGACTTCCTTGGTTTGCACAGCAAATTAGCAAGCAAGTATTTACATGTTGGTTATATTGTGCCACCAGCTCCAGAGAAGAATATAATAGTGCCTCCCACATGGTATGACCAAGATCAAAGTAGGTAAAAAAGATTCATCATCCACTGAGTTTGTAGAAAAACGAAGAGCAGCACTTGAGAGGTATCTTCAAAGAACAGTAAAACATCCAGCTTTACTACAGGATGCTGATTTAAGGCAATTCTTGGAAAGTTCAGAGCTGCCTAGAACAGTTAATACACGGGCTCTGAGTGGAACTGGAATATCGAGGATGGTTAGCAAGGCTGTGGACTCTGTCAAAAAAATGACAGCCAAGATCAGTGAATCAGATGCATGGGTTGAAGAAAAGCAGAAACAACTTTAGAATCTCAACCAGCAGCTTACGAAACTCCATGCCAGTGTTGGAGCTTTGGTCTGTCATAGAAAAGAACTTTCAGCTAATACAGTTGCCTTTGCTAAAAGTGCCGCCATGTTGGGTAATTCTGAGGATCATACTGCTTTATCTAGAGCTTTGCCACAGCTTGCAGAGGTTGAAGAGAAAATAGACCAGTTACATCAAGAACAAGCTTTTACTGACTTTTGTGTTTTCAGAACTACTTAGTGACTACATTCATTTTATTTCTGCAGTGAAAGGTGTGTTTGACCATCGAATGAAATGCCGGCAAAAATGGGAAGATGCTCAAATTACTTTGCTCAAAAAACATGGGACTGAGGCAAAAATGACGGTCACGAACAAACCAGATAAAATACAGCAAGCTAAAAATGAAATAAGGGAGTGGGAGGCAAAAGTACAACAGGGAGAAAGAGATTTTGAACAGATCTCTAAAAGAATTCAAAAAGAAGTGGGAAGATTTGAGAAAGAAGGAGTGAAGGATTTTAAAACTGTTATCATCAAGTACTTAGAATCATTAGTACAAACACAGCAACAGCTGATGAAATACTGGGAGGCTTTCCTACCTGAAGCCAAAGCCTTGCCTAGCAATAAGATTGTTCCACTTAAGAAGACGTTGGTTGTTGCTCCAGTTATCCTGAATTTCGCAATGAACTCATTTAAAACCATCCAAATAAACTACTATATATTTTATGAATTACATGTGGTGTTTTACATATACACACTCTCTGACATTTTATTATTGCTGCATGTCCTGACTGTCTTTGAATTAAGTGGACTGTGGCATGACATTCTGCAATACTTTGGTGAATTGAACACTATTGTGTCTTAAATAATTGTACCGAAATGTGCACTGCAAGGCCAGAAAATTTTACAGTATCTTTTCTTCATGTTCTGTAGTATGTTTACCTTATGAATTATCAATGCATTATTAATGTTCACTTTTACATTCCTGTACAGAAATTATGATTTTGTGGATTATAGTAATAAAATGATATTCCTTGTGAAAAAAAAAAGATTAGGTCCTGAGGTTTACCTTGTAATTGACATTGTGGTGTGAGGATAAGAGGTGTGGTTGTCTATTTTCCAGCTACGTATTGAAATCTCTCTGGATACACCCAAGGCTTTGAGGGACACTCTGGTAATCTGGGGTGAGCCGTGGGTTTCTCTGCTACCTTTTTTGTAGAATGAAAACTAATAATTTTTTAAATACAAAAAAAAGGAATAAAACAATCTGATATTTTCATTTGGAAGAAGTGGAATATATCTCATTTTCATTTGAAAGGAGCTAATGAAGTCTTATAATACAGTGTATTATCAAATCAAATTAATGTTATGTTAGAACCTCCCAGAATCCTCATCCAATCCATTATATGTGGGTTCACATTTCGCCTCCCTATCCCTTCCCAAGGGAATGCTACCTGCCAATTTAATCTGCATTTAAGATAGTGATCACCACCATTCCACTGCCACCCATTGCTTTGAGAATTACTGTAAACTTTTCAACAAGAGACTTGACTTTCATGCTAATTTGGATTTAGAGATTAGCTAGCAAGGCACAGCCAAATTGTAAGCTTCACAGGTGTCTCCTTGACACCTCCTCAGTCTTTTCCTTGGAGCATAAGTGGGCTATAATTGACATGTGATTGTAAATTTATAATTTAGAGCATTGAGAGGGGATGTGCCCTGTTACTCTCTTACCGAAATGGAAGACTGCTGAATATACGAGAATTCCTCCAAGGATTTTACAACTATGATTTCTCTTCCTTTGTTCTTGATTTGAACTAAACTTCTGGAAGCGCAGATATTTTAACTGTGACTTAAAGTTTGTCATCAGTTGTCATTGATTAATCACATCAGGTTTTCTATGGGAAAAAGGATAACACCATCAATTACATGGTTATTGTTAGGGAGTTTTCAAGGAGTGTTTGCTGAAGGGTTCTTAGAAATAATTAGGCTAGTTTACAGTGATCTGTCTGTAGTCCGTCCTTAGATCTGAACTGTTCTGACTTTTGAATACCCAGTGGCCCCCAGACGGTTGCGGCTGGTTGGTGGGGATGGGGTGAAGTAGGGATCTGGTATTTATTTTGTATTGTTTGTACCTCCCAGAGCTGCCTTCAGTTAAGCCAGGTGTGATAATAAAGCTCTTTTATAGTCTGTACCATAAAACTAATGAATTCTTAGATTTTAAAAATAATTCTTAGTTAACAAATTAACTGGCATTCAATTTTTGTGGTCCTTAGTGTTTTGTATATTACAAACATTATAATGTGGTTACTTCATTTGGAGGTTACTTTATATCTTAGGTTTCAGAAATGAATGTTTGTAAACTGTTTTTTTTATATTGTTTTCAGGCTTAATCTTACACATTCAGAGTATGAAGAACTTTTCAAGTCTATCAATGGGTAGGTTGGCCTAATACAATATATATGTGAATTGGTTTAATAATGTATGAGTGTGTACATATTTATTTGCTTTTGTAAAAAATATAAATATTATATGTGTTTCTACATAACTCTCTATTGGGGTATGGCATTAGTTTTTCTGAGTTCTTTTATGGGAAATATTTGGTAGGAGATCCAGAAGTCTTTTAAAGAGTAGGAAACAAGTTAGGAAATATATAATTGTTACATAGTAGATACATATAATTTTTTAACATATGTTACATAATCTTTGTTTCTTTAATACTTGTTTTACATATTTTGAAACTGCTTTGGATGGGAGATCATATTGCTTGCCTGGGGGGGTTATGGATATTGATTGTTTATCTTTCAGAAATATTTCCATAGAACTCAGAAAAAATACTTGTTATTTTTGTAGCTTTATTACAAAAGATATGATTAGCTCACAGAAAAGGACTTTCAAACATGTGAATAATATTGAACATCGCTCTTAATTTAAGGAAGAAAAGTTAATTACTGCAATAAAAAGGCATTTTTAACTATCACAGGTTGGCAAAGATCAGAAAATTTGTAAATATTCTATAGTGAGGATATGAGGAAACAAATATACTTTATTAGTAAGGGTATAAATTATATAGTCTTTTTTAGGGGCAGTTTTGCAGTATCTGTTAAAACTAGAAACATACATACTTTTGATCCAGGATCTTAAAAGGGAAGTTTGTTTTATAAATATATTATTCTGTAAGCCAGGTGTGGTGGTGTACACTTGTAATCTCAGCACTCTGGGAAGCTAAGGGAGGAGGATTACAGGTTTGAGCCCAGCCTGGGTAACTCAGTGAGACTCTGTGTCAAAATAAATAAAAGATAGCTGGCATGAACCTCGGTGTGAAGGCCCTGGGTTTTAGCTCCAGTAACACACTTACCCTTCACACACACACACACACGCACACACCATCATCATCATTGTCATCCTTGTATATAGAGTTAGGCCCTGTTGAAAACGTTGTAGTATTGTCTGAAAAGACATCCAGTTTAAAAAGTTGCTTAGTGGTCTATCAGGTGGGAATTGATTAAATGAAACAGACTATATTCATTTTATGGATCACTGCAGGAGTTAAAAATGAAGTCATTTATATATGCTGCTTTGCATCATGATTGTCATGTAAACAGTATTGTTTTGTGAGAAAAAGCAAGCCATGCTATGGTACACAGAGTATGCTTATATTCTTTTTAAGATGAGATGAAGAGATATGCATAGCATATTTATACCAAATCAACATGACCAATTTTATCAATAGCTGTTTCTCATTGGAAATGCAGTGACAAGGAGTCATTTTTATTGTAGAGCTTTTTAAGAGTTTTGTTGTTATTACTTGAAAAAAATGTGTTCACATATTGCCTTTCTTTTTAAAGCATATTCAAAAATTATTTGCCTTTAGTTTAGCTTATTCAGTAAATTTTACTTCAAAGTCAGGTCATTTAGTAAAACATTTACAATGCCTGGTATGTGCAAAGTACTTTAACAAGGACAAAAATAAATCCAGGCCAGAATATAAGAGAAGAACCTCCCTAATGTGCTTTTGAAATAACTCATCTCTCCTTTCCCTTTCGCAGCTGCATTTCTATTTGGAAAGTTATTTGCAATAGTACATTTAGAGACAGGAGTAAATATTTTTGGTAGCCAGCTTGTCCAGATGCACTTGAGTCTTCATGAAAAATGACAGTGGGTCTTAATTGACAATGGAGTCCCTTTTAGACCTTCCCCACCTATTTCCTTTGTCCACACCAGTTCTTGCTCCCATAGGCCTATACTTTCTCCACAGCACAGGCATCAACACCTGGGCTCTGAAACATGGAAACCAGGAGCCATAATTTATAGTTTCAGATACCACCAGAGAAAAGGGTAGTAGTCTAATACACCTCAGAAATACCTTTGTTGAGCCTCTGTTACTACACTATACTATTTTGTGGGGGAATACAGAGGTAAAAAGACAGAATTTCAGAAATTCAAAGGAATTTGTCATCTGCAAGAGGCATTCAGGTTTCACTGGGTGAAAGAACTTTAGGTCTAGATAAACCAAATTTGATCAGAGACAACATTTTGCTGGTTTTTTAAAACTTTTATTTTTATTAGTACATGTTTGTGATACATAATGATTACACTCCTCATGGGCAGTTGGTACCTGTACATAACAAATCTTAATTCTTTTTACATCCTCTTCCCCTCTCCCCTCCCTCCATCTCTTGGTCCCCTTCACATTTGCAAAAGATGTAACTCCCTATTTCCTATTATCATTCTTTTATTTTGCATTTTATTTATATTTTGGTCTCATATAAGCAAAACTGTGAGATATTTAAACTTTGTGTCTGATTTATTTCACTTACCATTATGGTCTCAAGATGCATCCATTTTCCTACAAACAACTCAAATTTATCATTGTTTATGGTAATGTAATACTCCACTATGCATAAATACCACATTTTCTTTATCCATTCATCTATTGATGAACATACAGGTCACTTCCAACGTTTACCTTTCACGAGTTGTGCTGCTATAAACACGAGTATGTATGTTTCATGTAATATGTCTCTCTTTTGTGCAAGAAGGAACATTTTAAATACTGATTTAATTTAAAGGGAGAACTTCTCATGAATCTTGATTAAGTCACTTTTAATTGTAGAGTTTTCTTCATGGGTTTGTGGCAGATGTCTTACACATATGTGTTAAATCTTTTATATTAGACTGATCCTACGAACAAAAGCTGCTCATCTTTGTCAAACTAGTATCATGTCTTACTTATAGAAGCAACAGAATGCATTGTTTTTTATTAATTTTATTGTTACATTTTAGGTATACAATATGATGACATTCATCATTGGAAATTTGCACCTTTACATAATCACTCTTGGTTATTTTTCCCCCTTCCCCTGCCCTCCCTTCAACCCCTCCATCCCTCCCTATTTAAAAAAACTTTGTTTCCATTTTTCCATTTTCTCATATTCTATTCCCTCCTTTCCTTTCCCCTACCCCTCCCACTTTCCTATCCCCTTTGCCCCTTTTCTTCCTATTTCACATTATCTATTATACCTTTTAGTCCTTATTTATACTTTCACTTTCTCACACTAGAGAAACTATTCGGTATTTACACATGTGTGTCATATTAATTTCACTTAAGAGTATTGCCTCAATGTGCATCCATTTAGCTATAAATGTCTGTAGTTTCTCATTCTTTATGGCTGAGTAGTACTCCATTTTATTTTAAAAAACCCACACATTTTCTTTATCCATTCTGCAGTTGATGGGCAATCGGGCTGCTTCCAAGTTTTAGCTGTTACAAATTGTGCTGCTATGAACACGGGTGCACATATATCACTGTGGTATGATTCTTTTAATTCTTTGGGGAAGAT